TAGAACTTTCGCGACGGCACTTGGACGCTGCGCCAGAAGAAAACATCCGCGTAGCCCTCTTTGAAATTCTTAGCGCATTTTAACTATGGGCTCCGAGTTTCGGACCCATAATAAGGGCCCACCGTGATCTCAAACGTGGGCCGGTCTACTCGAGACCCGCTAAAGGTTCTGCGTTTGACTCGAACGGCAGGTGCAGCCCCTTCAGAACGCGATATTTTATTAGGAGGGAAGCTCGAATTCGGAGTCGAGTACCGGCCAGCTTACTTCGAAATCGGCACGAACTTCTCGAGGGAATATCTGCGCGGGGGCTCAACGCGGTGGCCGGTTTTTCCGAGGCACCTTCATTAGCTGGAGAATAGAGCCCACCACACTTCACAGTTCATTCATTTGAAACAATCCAAAAAGGTTTTTTTTTTTCTTTCTTTCTTTAAAAAAGATTGCTGTTATTTTTTTTTTCGGGGGGGGGTGGGGGGGGGGGGGCAGAGTTTATATGGGCTTTTTAAGTCCTGAAGATATTTAAGGGGGAGTTATATCTCCAAATATCTTAGTTTATTCGAAAGGAAGCCGATGCAGATCTTGGCACGCGTCAGGCATGTTCGAAGAGCATATTTTCTTCGTACATACGTATGTGCGAACCTGTCTGAACACAGTTCTTGTATGACCGATGTGAAAGGACCGTTATTCAAGAAAGAACTACGCATCAGAAGGTGTTTGAAGATTGTCTTCTGCACGATATATTGGTGGTGTCACCCTGGTGGCTGTCCTCTACCAGAATGGAAAATTTCCAACCCAGATTGAAACAATTCCAATTTGAGCTCTGGGCCCGTTTGCTCGAAGCCGGTTAACTTTAACCGCGGTTAAAAGTTAACCGCCCTTAACTACTAGGTACCTACAAGTACCTAGCCAAGTTTGACGAGGGCTGGATGAGCGATAGCTCCGAGTTTTATTATGGGGTGGTAGCTGGTGTCACCTACTGGCTGTAGCGAATATACGTGGCTTCCGTGGAAAGGTTCCCGAAATGGGGGTACCCAAAAAATGCGCGCTGCCTGGTTTTCGCGACGCAGCGCGGCATACATTTGAGCTTAAAGGGGCACTGACACATCAAAATCATATTTTTTTTTATTATCCGAAACGATTGGAAACGATGCCGGGACATTACCCTCAAAATTTGAAATTTGGAAATTCAGTATTTGTGAAGTAAAAAAAACAATTTCCAAATGCCGAATTCGAAGTTCCCGCGCGATCGGCGCCGGTGCCTTGACGTCAAAAATTGCGGAGACCTGAGAGTCCCCTTTCTTTCACCACTCCCTGCTGTTGCCATGGCGACCCAAAGCGAGGAGGAAAGGAGCGAGCGCCGGCGTTGCGGCGGACCGGTTTTGAGCGCTGTCGCCTGTTTTCCGTTGGAGGATACAAATCCAGGAGACGGCACCACAACGAACTCCCGATTTTTGGTATTTCAAAAAGAAGGGCCGTAGTGCGTTCGCAATTGCGTTAAAAAACATGTTTTAGGATTGCCGTAATTAAATGTTATAGAGATGTCGCCTACAAAGCTTCTAAATTTCATGATTCTTGACGTCACCGATCAAAAGAAGCGAGGAGGCGAGAGGCGGGAAAATCAAACGCCAAAAATAAAAAGGCGCGCGCGCGCGCGGGAAAATTTTTTTTCGCAATGCGGTTTTTTTTTTGCGTGTCTATGACTGCAACTTGCATCGTTTTAGACAATAAAAATAAATACAACCTTTGGGGTGTCAGTGTCCCTTTAAGAAACAATTTTTATTGCTCGTGGTACAACTAATCGGCAAGGTAAAACCAAATTAACCCTTGTTTGCAAATTTTCGTAATATTTGGCTGTATGAAGTGAAGAAAAGCCTAACATCTCCACAAAACCCTCCATTTAATAAAGAAGAAGAAGAAAAGCCTCGTTGAAATTTCCTTCCAAGTTCGAAAGAGGATGACGAAGTTGAGTCCTAGAAACGATGAGAAAGAAGTGAGCACTGAAAGGCGAGTAGTACCAACACCACCTAGACAGAAGGCCTCCACACGCGTCATCATAGTCAGATCGATCGAGGCGAGAGATTGGGCACGAGTGCTGCGTCAGTGTTCGGTTGCGGCTCGTGGCCAATCAGCGCGTCGAAGGTCGGACTCGGGTCCAATAGCCGACCGAGCACGATCCGACTGTGATGACGTTTCATAGAGGAAGAGGAAACCATGTGGAGGCCTTCTGTCTAGGTGGTGTTGGTAGTACACGGGCAGCATGGTTGGCCAGCATGTAAGAACTGTATATAACACCTTCATAAATTGAAAAACCTGTAATTCGGCTCCACTGAAAATTGACCTATTAGTAAATTACCCGAACATTGAGAAGAACGCTGGTAGTGTAATTCTACGATCCGCGCGCGCTGGCCTTCAACTTGTAAAAGATTTGAAGTAAATAATCATAATAAGACTTTGACGAACGCGCGTGCACGGCAAAATTTGTGTAGGCTTTTAGCTTCAGAACAGTTATTACTGCAGGCGCCAGCAGGTGCAGCGCGTGTGACTACACTCGTAGCATGCACCTCGGTGCTTTTGAAATTTAGCAAACGGTCTATGGGAATGCTCTCTACTTTTGTGTGCTATCAATACCCGGCCGGTTTAGTCAAGGCAACCCGCTTTCCAAAGACGTTGCCATGCCGACAACTATCGCGTTCAGTTAGGCTTAGAAATGGCCAGGGTCGAAAGTCTATCTAAAAAATGCGGCGAGGTCATTGCTCATGTTTTGCGTTTTAAGTGAGGTAAGGCAACGCGAAAACCTCCTGCACCATTCAATGCTGACTAACGCGCCCGCTACAGCAGCTACTACGACGTATTAGTTCCAAAGCGAGCGGCGCTCACTCACCGGGGCACCGCCATGTTTCCCCGCCGTCCTTAATCTGCCGGTCACGTGACCTAAAATTCCCCATCGTAGGGAAATCCGGTTAACCGCGGTTAGATAACCAGCTTCGAGCAAACGGGCCCTGGTGTGCAGTCTTATACCCCTGTTACACGGGCACACTTAACCGCGGTTAACTCAGCTTAAAGGGAAACTGAAGCGGTTCTCTATTTGAGAAAAAACATTTCAATGGCCTTCATTCTACCTCCAGGATCAGGAATATCAAGATTATTTTTCAATTTGGTGCACGGAGGCTTCAGAAATTAATTTTTAAAGTACCGCCGAAGCCCCTCCTTCTCGGGGCGTGACGTCACACTAGGAGCGTTCGGAATATCTGCTCTCGCGCATCTTCAGCGCCTGTCAAAGCTATGCACGCGCACTCTTGCTATTTCCAGAAAGGTCAGAAAGAGACGTCACGACTGGTGTCAGTGCGGGAAAATATACCTGGCAAGCTTGCCGTTGCACGCGCTGAACACACGAGCGACACGCGCTCGGAGGCCCGAAGATCCTAGTATGACGTCACGACTGGTCGAATGTTTTTTCGCTTTTTCTCGCTTTTAGTTGCATCTTCGGGGAAAACAAAAGTGATATTCAGATTCACGGGATAAAAATACGCCAGAATTCACCTCTAACTCGTTTTTTTCAAGAAGTGTTTCAGCTTCCCTTTAACTGCTGTTACGCAGCACCATTGATACCGCACTATACTCTCGGACAGCTATTTCAAAAGAAGTGAAGAGAGCGCGTGCACTGCTTTGATGGGAGCTCAAGATGCTCAAGAGCACGTTCGCCCATAGCTTTGACTGCATAGCCGCAGAATGTTATCGGCAAGTATTGTGCGCTAATTGTGGCTTAGCGTAACTACAGTTAAGTCTGCCCGTGTAACAAGGGTATTATACCCCTGTTACACGGGCACCCTTAACCGCGGTTAACTCAGATTTAAAGGAGCTGTGCAACAATTTCAGGGCTTTGCTTAAATAATTGTGGAAGTTGATGCCTGACACTTCTGCAGTGAACTACAGAAAACAGATTTTGCCTGGATACCCTAGTGTAAGGGTTCTGGAAAAGACGGCTGGTTTCTCGATCGGCCGGGCGACGGTCGTCTTGTCCGGCGGCGTGTATGATGCTCCCTCCCCGGTCGTTTTGTGTAGTTTTGCTTTTCTAACGGGGGACCGCGTGGGCCTTTCTGCCGACGCGGCCCCCTGGAGAGCGTCTTCCTGTGTCTCCCCCATCGGGATGACCCCTCGGGAAGAGATGTTGTTTTTTATTTTGAATCTGGAGGCTTGCGCATTCTACGGGGCTTCTTGGGTTTCAACCTGGGGGTTCCGGAGAGGCGCCGCTATGTCTGCAACGGGATGCACGGACGAAGTTACGGAGCTGTCGGCTGTAGTCCGTTGGCAAGTTAACGAATGTGTATCGACGCCCTTGCCAACTATTGGACGGTGGATATCACGTGGCTCCAGCAGAGCTTTGAAATGATTGGTTGATCCTCGCCCGAGAGTGAGGGGGTCAGCGTCTTCAAAAGTCCGTGACAGGGGAGAGAGAAGCCCTTTCTGGCTTGGACTTGGACTAATTTGGAGGACGGGGATTTTCCTTTGCTTTGTATAGACTGTGTACAATAGCTCGTAACGTCTAAATAAACGGTTTAGACGAAGTCCTCCCGCATCTGTCGCACTCTTCTGATCACCCACCGAACAAGGCTCATCAAACGATTGGCCCCGCAAGACACCGCCGGGCAGTCATCATCTATTCAACCAAGGGACGAACCTTTACTGGCGCAGCTCGACAGCGATGAGCGAGCCTCGGTGACGATCAGAGGATCAAGAAGGCGACAGAGGTGGTCCAGCTGAAGCTTCCTGGCTGGCCAGGTGCTTGAACGGAGCGACCGACGGAATCCGCCGACAAGCAGCGCTGAGCGTCGGGGAGCGGTACTGCCGAAGCGGACTGGCCGGTGAAAAGCGGCGCATGCGGCACATCGACGGAAAGAAAACCACCTGGGTCATCGGACAGCGACGCTGAACGACCGGTGGCTGAAACCAGGGACCTCAAGGGTCAGGAGTTCCGACGCCGAGGCCAAGGACGACTACTGAGGACGCAATATCCGGGCTCTGGGCGTCAAACTGCAGCAACGTTTGCGCCGGGTGAGTGGGATTTCTTGCGTCGGGTCGAGGTTGGCATGGCTGGTAGTTGGCGGGACTTATGGTTTTGACGCGTCAGATGCTGGCCGACATGGAGAACGGGTTAAATGGAGAGAACTCGCAGGGGACAGGAGCCTCTGGTCAGGGGCAGGAGGCGCCACAGGGTGCGACAGAAAAGGAATCGGAGGCGGTCACAATTCGAAGGCTCGAACTAGAATTTGAGTTGCGGAAAGCGCAACTTCAGATTGAGTCCGAAGAGCGGATCGCGTTGCGCATGGCCCAGCTAGGAAAGGAAAGTGGTCGACCTTCGTCCTCTGGGTCGGAAACAGACGACCAACGGCACGCAGGCTTAGACCCGGTTGCGCAATGCGCAAAAGTTTTGAAAGGGTACAGCCTGCCGTGTGACGCGGACGTTCCTTTATGGTTTGATGAGGTGGAAAAATTGTTTACCACGTACCAGGTGCCGGATAGTGGTCGAGTACATTTGATTATGCCGGTGCTAACGGAGCGTGTCCGCTACCTGCTGCGCAGTCTAGGGCAAGACGATTGTTTAGATTACGAGTCGGTAAAACGGGCGGTGCTGAGCGAACTGAAACTCACGCCAGCTGAGTACCTAGACAGGTTCGACAGTGCAGCCAAAAGAAAAGATGAAACATGGGCTCAGTTCGCCTCCCGTGTCCGAACCTACTTCACGTATTACCTTCAGGTGAGAGGTGCGGACACGCAGGAGACAGTAACGGAGCTCATGGTTGCTGATCGGATTAAGGCGAGCCTGAGTACCGATGGTCTGGAGTATGTTCGCCTTCGCGAGGGAGAAACTTGGTTAAAACCGGTCGAGGTGGCGAAGGTGTTACAGACTTATGAGCAGGCAAAAGGGAAAGGGAGCGCAACAAAACAGGTGTACGTTCTAACGGAACAGTCAGGGACGGGGCGCTCGCCAGGGTTCAAATGTCCCGTGAACTCGGGTCGAGCAGCTGTAAGGTGTCATGTATGTCATGAGCAGGGACACATTGCCAAGCACTGCCCTCGCGCGTCGGGTAGTGAGGTGCCTCAGGGGCTGGCAAATGTCCCTGAACCGAAAGGGCAGACAGACAGAGTGTTAACCGCTCGGGTTGAGGTGAGGCGGTCGATTTCGGAGACGGGCCGCTCGAAGCTACAGTTGGTTCAACTGGAGTGCGGCGACGTACACACCGAAGCAGTGCTCGACACGGGTACCGAAATGACGGTAGTACGGGAGAGCCTGCTACCTCAAGCTTTGAGAGAACCGTCGGGCACAGTGAAGCTAGTGTCCGCTTTTGGCCACGCAATTGATGCCAATCTTGCAACACTTCCAATAAGGTTGAGCTGTCCAGGGGCGGTAGAAAATCCAACTAAAACCGACTTAGTGTGCGCGCTCACCAATCAGCTGGCGGAAGGGGTGAACTGTTTGCTTGCCTGGAAAGATTGGGAACTGTTGAAAGCTAGGAGCGGTAAGGTCCAGGTGCAACAGGGAGGTACAGCGGCCTATCCTTGTGAAGTTGAAGAACAGAACGTCGGAAGAGATGAAGACAGCGAAGCACTGACTTGTGGGGTTGGCTAGGTAGGCCTCGGCCCTTCAGCGCTACAATGTAACAGCCCAGCATGGGAGGGGAACCAGTAACGGAAATACTGATGCGTAGTGTGGGCTCAACAATTTATGTTGGGAGTCGACTGAGTGATCATGCCATGCCGCCTCGGTTAGACGTGAATGTTCCCCTCACCCGTGCCGCAGGGCGCTGTGGGGCTGTGAAGTGAATTGGCGAGTCGAACTTGAGGACCCAAAAAGACGTTCTTCTCGTTGCTGTTGTGAATACGTTCAACGCTAATGTAACGCTGTTTTTCTCTTTGTGTGTGTGTTGTTTTACAGCCTTTGGAATGTCACGCAGGCGTTTTGGCCCCTTTTTATGTTTGCACTGGGGCATTCCGGTTTGTTAAAGTAGAACTGTTGTTTTTATGTGTTTTGTTTTATTGTCAGCTTACGATTATGTTTGCACGCTTTGAGTCGGTTCTGAAGAACTTCACGTTAGTGTTATCTAGTTTTATTTCTTTTGCGTGTGTTTAGATTAACTGTTTAGCAGGTCCAAGAAGGACCAGAAACAGTCTTGGGGGGAAGGTGTAAGGGTTCTGGAAAAGACGGCTGGTTTCTCGATCGGCCGGGCGACGGTCGTCTTGTCCGGCGGCGTGTATGATGCTCCCTCCCCGGTCGTTTTGTGTAGTTTTGCTTTTCTAACGGGGGACCGCGTGGGCCTTTCTGCCGACGCGGCCCCCTGGAGAGCGTCTTCCTGTGTCTCCCCCATCGGGATGACCCCTCGGGAAGAGATGTTGTTTTTTATTTTGAATCTGGAGGCTTGCGCATTCTACGGGGCTTCTTGGGTTTCAACCTGGGGGTTCCGGAGAGGCGCCGCTATGTCTGCAACGGGATGCACGGACGAAGTTACGGAGCTGTCGGCTGTAGTCCGTTGGCAAGTTAACGAATGTGTATCGACGCCCTTGCCAACTATTGGACGGTGGATATCACGTGGCTCCAGCAGAGCTTTGAAATGATTGGTTGATCCTCGCCCGAGAGTGAGGGGGTCAGCGTCTTCAAAAGTCCGTGACAGGGGAGAGAGAAGCCCTTTCTGGCTTGGACTTGGACTAATTTGGAGGACGGGGATTTTCCTTTGCTTTGTATAGACTGTGTACAATAGCTCGTAACGTCTAAATAAACGGTTTAGACGAAGTCCTCCCGCATCTGTCGCACTCTTCTGATCACCCACCGAACAAGGCTCATCAAACGATTGGCCCCGCAAGACACCGCCGGGCAGTCATCATCTATTCAACCAAGGGACGAACCTTTACTCCTAGTTTTTACTTAAAAAAATGAAAAAGATCCAGGTTTTCGCCGCCTCTCAACTCGTGCATCGTCTTCCGGGTCACGTGCACAGTGACGTCACTAGAGTAGGCGCGGAGTTCCGGAAAAGTTCTCTCTTTAGACCATCAGCGAGCAGCGAGAACTCATCCGCTGCCGACCGCGTGACCACCCGTCTTTGCCCGTCCGGCGCTGTCCCCCTCCCCCTCCGGCTTCTGGCGGCTGTTCGCGGTTTTGTGGACCTAGGATAGATGGCGCCACTAAAACTCCGTATAATAAAAGTTTTGTGGATGATACCAGGGTGTTGACGCATTTATATATATGTTGGAACGACAAGATTTGTAAAAAGAGTTACCTTTTATCGAGCAGGTATTCGCACAACTTGCTATCTTTCTTACAACGACCCAAGTGACGTCACGCCGCTTGTTTCTCATGGCCGCCGCTCGTGGCTGCAGGTCGGGAAATATTCCAAGTTTTGCCTCGCTATTACGCGGCGGAATCGCAACATTGCGATGAAAGGAGGTGTGTTTTCTGCCATTTGTGACACAGTGAACAATATCAAAAGCAGAAAATGCCAATTCTTTCAACGTTAAAATCGTTGCACAGCTCCTTTAACTGCGGTTACGTGACAGCACAGATGCCGCACTATACCCTCGGACAGCTATTTCAAAAGAAGTGAAAAGATCGCGTGCACTGCTTCGATGGGTGCTCAAGATGCTCAAGCGCACGTTCGCCCATAGCTCTGACTGCATCGCCGCAGAATGTTGTCGGCAAGTATTGTGCGCTAATTGTGGTTTAGCGTAACTGCAGTTAAATGTGCCCGTGTAACAGCGGTATTACAGCTGAAATTTCCAGTGTGCTCGTGCACGTGGTCGCGAAAACTTCGTGTAGCGCAGCTTCGAGTGTTCGCAGAACGACGGCCTTTAGCGTAATATGACACACAAACGCCCCTGCCCTCGACTGCTGCGCGCACATCATCGTGCTGCGCTTACTTTTTATGATACCAAATTAGTCTCGTAATGTTTTGATCGCACCTCGTAAAAATCCCCGTGTAAATGCTCGCGTACAAAAAAAAAAATATTCTTGCCGAGTTTTTTGGTTTGCGTCTTTGCTAACTCTATACATAACTTGAGAGATGAAGAATTGTCAAAAACTTGTGCCGGAACTCTTGAATGTGAGGCTCGAGGACAGCAGATTGGATTTGCCAGCCTAAAATAGCCCAAACTTCTTTTTATTTGTACAAAAAAAAAATATTGCCTCTGATTAGCTGTTGTTAGTTTCCACTGTGCATTATGATTCAACTTTTACATTGTTCCGTAGTTTTCTAAAGTTTCTGTTTTAATGTTTTACCTTATTTTATTATTGTCTTCTTTCCACTTCGTGCCCACGCCGGTCTGGCCCGGCCGATGACGGCAGTACAAAATAAAATAAAGAGATAGAAAACAAAATAAGTGAAGCGGCTCAAGTAAAGGAGAGCTAAAGCGGCTTTCTTCTGGGTCGCTCTTTGTGACTGCGGCAGAGATGAAACGGAGGCAGGAGGTCTCTGGAGTGCCTCGCGCCGTGTCATCAATAAATTATCCTCGCGTGCCAGAGTCGAGAAGAGAAATAACGCCCCTCGATGGAGGATTGAAAACAAAAAGCGAGAGAAGGTGGTCGGCGGCAAGGTAAACCTTTCCTAAAGGCCAGATTTTGCCAATAAGTCACTGCACGATATACCAAAGTAGACCGGGCAACGTGCCGCCCAGTTTGGGCAAACAGCGCAAACAATTATACTTAAAGGCTTTCCGGTGATGAGGCAAGTTTTTCAAAACATCGCAGAGCGAGTGTCGCAGACGACACTCGCAAGATGGGCCGGAACCAAAAACCGAAAATTCTCTTAGATTACGGTCTGTGTATGTTTAGACAGCAGGAAGTTAGTCAGCCCCTCTGTAGATTCGAAATTAAGCCAGTGTTGTACGACAGTTATCCTAGAATCAATAGGGAGTTTTCGTAGATCGTTTTCGCCGTCCCGCAAGGCCCTCCGCAACCCGCTACGATAGCGGGAACTCTACAGTCAAGGCTATCGGCGCGCAGGCGCAGTAGCAACATCTTCGTTGCGGAACGCTTAGCGGAGGGGGCAGCGCGGTCTACGAAAAAGGGAGTTTTCGTAGATCGTTTTCGCCGTCCCGCAAGGCCCTCCGCAACCCGCTACGATAGCGGGAACTCCACAGTCAAGGCTATCGGCGCGCAGGCGCAGTAGCAACTTCTTCGCTGCGTAACGCTTAGCGGAGGGGGCAACGCGGTCTACGAAAACTCCCTATTAACCTGCCTCACGCTCTTAAGGCCCTTATACCCTAGTTACACGGGAGCTTTCAACTGCCATTGAGTCAACGACAGTTGACTCAATCGCGATCGGCCGGAGTTACACGGCGGCGCCAACTGTCATCGAGCCGCTAATGACAGTTGAGTTCAACTGAGCTCCCCTACCTCAGTTCAACTGAACGGACTTCCCCAACTGAGGTAAAATGGCGCCTGTCCGCGGAACCGCTGCCGCCGACCATCGTTTCCGAGGCACTTACTGTTTCGGAATGCAGGGGGAGGCGTCTAAAAAGAATCGTAGCAGCAAAATATCCGGGAAGGAATAGCTTTAGGCGTCCGAGCTGCCGCTAAAACGATCCCGGCTAGCCGGCAAGCCACCAAACGAGCGACGATGGCGGCGGGACCAGCTGTGTGAATGGACAGATAGTAATGGGTGCACCCATCGTAGCGGGTAGAAGCTAGCTCCACCTAGCCTAAAATATGCGCAACTTAGCCCTGAATCTGCTTTGGTACTGATGTAAACGCCGCTAAAAAGGAACAAAGTATTGAAGATAGTGTACGATATACTTATAGCAAATAAAATTTGTTTCTCCGAGTAGATTACTTTAACAATTAGACTGGTCACGTGGCACAAGAACTAGTTTCGTTTTAGCTTCAACTGGGTTCTAGAGAGCCGTGTAGCACCATCTCAGTTCAGTTCAGTTCAATCACAGTTGGGGCCGGTAACTGTGATTGAACTCAACGACAGTTGAGTTCAATCACAGTTACTCAACGCGTTTGAGTGCGTTGCGGCGTCCTTGGGGCCAGGAGCGGTCGCTGGCGATGCGACGTGCGCCTTCCCGCAACGCTCCGTAGCGCGACGCAAGCGAGTAGAGACTCGCTCAACTTTCCGAAGCGCTGCGGTGCGTTCAACCAATCAGAAGCCGAGAGAGGAGAGGAGGGTGACGTGTCCGCTCGCGCCACTCGGCCGACTCGGCGAGACGTATCCGATTCTCCGCTCGCAGAACTTACTTATTCCTTTTGGGGAGCGGTGGGGAGTGTATTTTCTAAGGCTGCGATGTTCAAGCTTGACCAAACGTCGGGGAAGCCGACGGGATTGACCCAAGATCGAACACTTCGACGCTGTCGCTGTGCGCCGCCATGTTGGCTTGGATTTTGCTTACTATTGGTGAGCCGCTAGCGACGATAGCGCGTTCTTATGGGACCGTTCGGCTGGGCCAGGGGGCGCGCTGGAGCGATACCAGCGGCGCCGCGCCCTGGCCCGATTTCGCCCTACTTAGCCGTTCGCCCGTCCCATCGCGCTGCCAGTTGCAATGGCAGGCACAGCGTTGAAGCTTTCTGTCCGTTAAAAAACTGTGATCATTTTTAGGGAGGCGAACCTCCGCAAAGAAAGGTGGCCTGTGTGTCAGGTCCCC